CTTCAAACTTCCCGCTCTGTGGTTGGGGAGTGGAGGGTGGTTTCCTCTCCAGGGTAGCCCCGTCTCGTACCACCCCTCTGGCCCTCGTGTTAATTGTTCCTTGAATTCTTCATAAACATCTGCTTGATCTCCACTTGGTGTGTCACATAATCCTAGAACATCTAATTTGCATAGCTGTTCGTAATTTGCCGCTGTCGTCTGTGTCAAGAACATATTAGAGAGGTCAACTTCTTTACCTGGTGACATAATTGTCCATCCGAACTTTGTTAGCTCTGCAACAGGTTCGCCGGCACGTCCGATCTTTGGTATGGTTTCTGTCTTTATTTTCGCGTACTCGCTCGCACCCAGGATAATGTGGACTGGTAGCTCAGGCTTCTCGTCTCTGTCGGCCATGTATACCCCACCTAAGTAGGGATATTTCTCCAGTATCTCGGCATATCCTGGGTTGTCAAGTGATAGCAATGTACTACGGTCCACTCTGGTGACTTCCGTTTCCAATCGGAATTTTCCATCAAGACTGCCAATCGTCACGCTATGAACTCCGATGACCTTGTTTGTTGACCGAAGCATCATCTCTAGGCGCTTGAATTCTTCTCGTAGCGGTTTGTTTCCCAGGTGTTCAAGAATAGCTGACGACTCATATGAGCTGCCTACCCCAGTGTCTAGGAGTGCGCGGCACTTGATTTCATTTACTTCCCCGACAACAACGGGATACACGACTCTCCCTGTTCCTTTGTTTTGTGCCGTCATAAATCTTCCCCTCGTTGTGTGACCGCTTGGTGGGTGATCACAAATTGACGTGTGATGTCTGCGTTGACAATTATGACACCCGCGGCTTCTACAGCTGTCTGCTCTGTGTTTGTCACTTGTACAATTAAAACACAACTGTTTTTGGCTCAAAATTCGTTTGCAGTCTCCGACCACGAGAACTTTGGTGTAATTAGCGGATGTGTCATTCGTGTCATCGCAATAGACCCACCCGCGCATCTGTCTTTCACTTGCTTGTTGTTGGACCTGATAAGACCTTCCGCGTGGCGGCGGGACGCGTGCATTCCAGTCGTTGCGATCATTCTTCCTCTTGGACTCACTCGCACCATCGCTTTCCTCTCCTTCTGAATTTATGTCTCTCCAACTTTTATTTGCCTAAATCAGTTTAGCGAAATCCCAGTCTCGCCAATCTTCGTGTCCCCGGACTAAGTCTCCCTTTATTCCTTTCAGGTTGTCTAACACCGCCCTCACATTTCCGGAGACTTCACGTAACTTCCCGAGCGTCTCTAAGCTTTGTTCATTGAACAGAAGCTTTTTGTAAAACTCTTTCATTTCTTTTGGACTGGCGCTTGTGATGGTAGGCAAACCCATGATGTTGTTTACTTATGCGTTTACAATTTCTGACGTTTTCCCGTACTCCGATTTTAGGATGGCCTTCGCCCTTTCGTACCCCTCAAGATTGAATGGGAGTCCCATCTATGTCCGCTCGTACCTTTTGTAACAAGGAGTTCCTTTAGATAGGCGAACTTTGTCACTGCTGACAGATCTGTCGCGACTATTTCCGGGAAATTTTGTTCCAAAAAGAGAGCCATTGTTCGAAGGACCCAGCAAACTTCGTTATTGATAGCTTTGGCAACTTTGCGTGCATTCCGGAATCGCCTGATAACCCTTTCCCTTTTTTGCTACCTAATTCTTCTGATTTTTTTTCGTAATCAAGCTTCATTTCCCATTGTGCCTTTTCAAACGCGAGTTGCTCCTCTCTCTCCTGGCGATTGTCGCTTTCTCGCTTTCTTTTTCGGCCATTTACGATTTTTTCTTCACCTCCCGCAAACACTTCCCAAGGTATTCGATCTCCGGGTCTACACCCTCAATAACTTTGTCTATTTCATTGCTCCATGCACATACCTCGTCCATTTGCTCACCCTTTGCAATCTTCTTCTCTTCGAACTTTAATTTGATCTCCTGGGCTTCTTTTGCTAAACACACCAACGCGTCACGGTGTCTCCCAATAGTTGTCGCGTTTGCCTTGTCCACAATGCCCTTTCCATTTTCTTGCTTGTACGCCAAAAGCCTGAGTTCTGCGTCCAAATCCTTCTGAAGTGTCTCCAGTTCCATGTCTCGATCTCAGTCCCGTTGGAGGTGCCAGTTAGTGTTGGAAATCCCAGTCTAGCAACACTAGTCACTCGCGTAGTTTTTTTCCTATCTTTATTCTAGTCGTCACACGCTTCGTATCGCGTCGATCTTCGCCTATTCTTTTTACAAAACCACAATGTCGTAAAGACCACCCTCGGTTTCGCGTTGCGAGGTTACAAGGCTGACGTCACTTTTCCGACAGGTATGAATTTCGAGAATTCGGCCCACAAGTGGCTAATACCCTAAGTTCCCATATGCCTACTTCACCCCGATTTCCATTTAAACAGTGAATTTTTAAAAAGCCGGGAAGTTTTGAGCATTCATGGCAGAAGTGGATAATACCCGAAGTTCCCATACGATCTCCTTACCCCGAGTTTCTATTTTTCCTTTTAAACAAATTCTAGAAAAACGGGGTAATATCTAAGAATTCATCCTCCAAATGAAATAGATCCCGAGTTTCCAACCCCATTTTCCATGATTTTCAATGAATTCTAGAGAAATGGGATTCAGTAATTCTGCGAATTCATACGCAAGTGGCTAACACGCTAAAGTTTCCATATGCCATCTTTACCGCAATTTCCCATTTGATCAGCGAATTCGAGAAAAGCGGGGTAAATTCCGAGCCTTCACGTTACAAGTGAATAACACCCAAATTTCCATATACTATCTTTACCCCAAATGTCCATTTATTGTCAGTGAATTTGACAAAGAACGGCGTAAAATCTGGAAGTTCATCCTCCGAATGAAATAGATCCCGGCCAAGTTGCATAGCCAACCTTTAACTGGATTTTCCATTTTTTTCTTCAATGAATTCTACAAAAACGGGATGAATTTTGAGAATTCGGCCCACAAGTGCCTAATGCCCTAAGTTCCCATATGCCAACTTCACCCCGATTTTCCATTTCATCAGTGAATTTTAAGAAAAACGAGGTATGTTTTTGAGCATTCATGCTACAAGTGCATAATACCCGAAGTTCCCAGACGATTTCCTTACCCCGCTTTTCCATTTTTTTGAAACAAATTCTAAAAAAACGGGGTAAAATCTAAGAATTCATTATCCAAATGAGATAGATCCCAAGTTGCCATATGCAGTCTTCAACCCGATTTTTATTTTATTTTTTTCAATGAATTCTACATCTATACAGAAACGGGATTAATTCTGCGAATTTATCCGCAAGTGGCTATCAAGCTAAGTTTCCATATGCCACCTTTACCCTGATTTCCCATTTGAGTCAGCGAATTCGAGAAAAAAAGGGGTAAATTCTGAGCCTTCATGTTACATGTGAATAACACCCGAAGTTCCCATATGCTATATATCTTTATCCCAAATGTCCATTTTTTTTCCCAGTGAATTTGACGAAAAATGGGGTAAAATTTGAGAGTTCATGCTCCGAATTAAATAGATCCCAAGTTGCCATAGCCAATCTTTCACCCGATTTTCCATTTTTTTTGTCAATGAATTCCAGAAAAACGGGATGAATTTTGAGAATTCGGCCCACAAGTGGCTAATACCCTATGTTCCCATATGCCAACTTCACTCCGATTTTCCATTTCATCAGTGAATTTTACGAAAAACGAGGTAAATTTTGAGCATTCATGCTACAAGTGAATAATAACCGAAGTTCCCATACGATTTCCTTACCCCGATTTTCCATTTTTTTAAACAAATTCTAGAAAAATGGGGTAAAATCTAAGAATTTATCCTCCAAATGAAATAGATCCCAAGTTGCGATATCCAGTCTTCAACCCGACTTTCCATGTTTTTCAATTAATTCTAGAGAAACGGGATTAATTCTGCGAATTCATCCGTAAGTGGCTAACACGTTAAGTTTCCATATGCCATCTCTACACCGATTTCCCATTTGGTCAGCGAATTTGAGAAAAACGGGGTAAATTCTGAGCCTTCATGTTACAAGTGAATAACACCCGAAGTTCCCATAAGCTATCTTTTCCCCAAATTTTAATTTTTTTTCAGTGAATTTGACGAAAAACGGGGTAAAATCTGAGAGTTCATCCGAGTTAAATAAATCCCAAGTTGTCATAGCCAATCTTCAACCCGATTTTCACTTTTTTGTAAATTAATTCTAGAAGAACAGAAGCTTTTTGTAAAACTCTTTCATTTCTTTTGGACT